GCTTCTCCCTCTGACCCTCCCCACTCTCATGTGCTCTCTCTCATTCTCTCTCTCTCAAAAATAAATAAATAAAATCTTTAAAAAAAAAAATTGATCTGCAGATTCAACATAATCCCTATCAAAAGCCCACATTTTTCTGTAAAAACTGGCAAGTTGATTCTAAAATTCATACAGAACTTCAAGAGACCCAGCATATCCAAACCAACCCTGAAAAGGAAAGCAAAGTTGGAGGACTCACAGTTCCCCATTTCAAAACCTTCTACAGTGAGGCAACAGTGAAGTCAGTGAGTGCCGGCATGAGGACAGACCTAGAGACCAATGGAATAGGACCGATAGTCCAGAAATAAACCTTCACTTGATGCTCAAGTGATTTTCAGCACGGACTTCAAGATCATTCAATGGGGAAAGAATAGTGCTTTCAATAAATGGTGCTGGGACAACTGATACCAATAAGAAAAAGAATGAAGTTGGACCCATCATTTACACTATTTATTCAAAAATTAACACAGGGGCGCCCAGGGGGCTCCTCCTCTCTGCTTGTGCTTTCTCTCTCTCTGTGTCTCTCAAATAAATAAATAAAATCTTTAAAAAATAAAAAAAACATACAATTTGCTAAGCCTGGGTGGGGCCTGGGTTGGGGTCTGGGGTAGGGCCTGGGATGGGGGCAGCGGTTGGGGCTTGGGGGGGGCGCTGGGAGGCCTGGGGAGGGGGAGAGGGTGGGTGGGACCTGCATTGGGGTCTGGGGTAGGGCCTGGGATGGGGGCAGGGGGTGGGGCCTGGGGATGAGGCCTAGGGTGGGGCCGGAGAGGCCTGGGGTTGGGGGTGTTTGTAAGGGGTGGGGCCCAGGAGGCCTGCATGGGGCCTGGGCAGGTTTTCTCAGGAACAACTCTGAAGGGTCCAGGATCCCTACAGCAAAGAAGACAGCACCTTGCGCAGGGAGCCAATCCCTAAGCTGCTGCCCCCCACCATTGCCATGACCCTCCTGTGGAGGCACTGGGACTAGCCACCCAGGCCCGGCCAGCGCCACCTCACCAGGGGCCAAGTAGACCCTTGAGAAGAAGCTTGGTCCCTCTCCCTGCGTCGGCGTCCCTGGGAGACACGGCCCTCGAGCGCCACGGCACCCCGCAGCAGCTCCCCGTCACCCCGAGTCTGACAGCGGTTCCCGGCAGCCTCGCAGACCGGCGAAAGCCCCTGTGCCCGGCCCACCCCGGCCCAATCGTTGGGGTCCCTATTGCCTATGGCGTAAATCATAATGCCCCTGTAAAGAAGGTCATCATCAATAGTGTCTTAGAGAATTTTAAATCTTTTTTACCGAATTTACAGATAATGCATTTCCTTCCTGTCGTTTTTTCAAACCTTTGAAAAGACTCTGAGCCTTTATTTCCAGCCCCACACTTTGCAGGCTCGGTTTAACGGCAGGAGCCCTAGCTGCCCGCCCCGGGCGCTGCCCCGTGCGCCCTGCTCCTGGAAGGCCTCCCGGGACCGGGGCACCCTCCCAAGTCCCCCCGGCGTCACCCTCGGGCATCCACCCTCAGGCTGCGTTAGCACAGCACCTCCAGCCTGCGGCCAGCCTGCCCGGGCGCGGGGTCGCCGTCCCCACCCAGGGTCCCGCCGCACGCTCTACTCTCGGGTCTCCTCTGACCATTCCCCCAGGCCGGTCTTCTGGAGGTTTCCGAGTCCAGGCCAGCTCTGGAGGCCGACCCCTGTGTGGATTTGTCATGATCAGATCCAGGTGAAACATTTCTGGTTGTCACTTCACCCGGGGGTGGGGTGGGGGTCTCTGTGTCCTTTCTCAGACAGCTCACCAGGGCACAGACGTCAGCTGCTCCCACGCTGCGTGAGGCTGACTTGGTCCTTCGGTTAAGGTGGTGTGTGACCAGCATCTTTACTGTGAAGGTACTTTCCTCCACTCCTGAGGAATTAGTGGTCTGGAGGAAGAGCTTATGCTCCATAAATGTTTTTGTTGTTGTTGTTTTGTTTTGTTTTTAGAAACTACGTTGGCTGGGTGCTTGGGGGCTCAGTCAGTGAAGCGTCTGCGTTTGGCTCAGGTCATGATCCCAGGGTCCTGTATCGGGCTCCCTGCTCAGTGGGGAGTCTGCTCCTCCCTCTCCTACTCCCGCCTGCTCATGATCTGTCTCTCACGATCTCTCTCTCTCAAATAAATAAAATCTTAAAAAAAAAAAAAGAAACTATGTTGGCATCATACAACTTTGTATCCTGTTTTTCACTTAGCAAATCGTGAATGTCTTCTCATCATACCATTAAATACCTCCCAAAACGTTATTTGGGTCCTGCGTGAATTCCAGCCTGCAGAGGTATTTGACCTAATTGTTACCCATGAGAGTCGAACTATGAGCTTACTGGTGGAAGCTCTGTGCCGGCAGGATTTTTCTTCCGTTTTGCTGGTTGCCATGCTTTCCACCGAGAACAATACCTGGCAAATAGAAGCTCAACAAAAGTTTTGAAGGAACAAATACAGCTTGAATCTAGTTTTTCAGTATCCCAGGGAAGGCCACAGCAAATGTCCTTGCACGTAAATCTTCACATTTTAGGAGGATCAGTTATAAGAAGGGAAACGTTTATGTGGATAGAGTGAAGGAATAAGGGTGCAAAGTCACGTATATGCTATAATCTCCAAACTGCAAAAATATGCGGAGAACCATCTGGGATAAAACAGACCAAAAAATTAACAGGGATTAACACTGAACATTTGGATGATTAAAGGTTCCCATCGATTATGAAAGTTCCTCTGTATTTTCTACAGGCGGAAGAACACTTGTATGCAAAGAAGTGGTAGCTTTTTCTTTTAAAGCTAGTCTTGCAAATCAAGAAGTGACAAAACTATGTGTGCTTAGCAGCCGTTCATAATAACTGAGGGTCCGAGGTAACAACCAAGTGCAGGTTTTGGCCACTTTCAGAGTATCGTGTCCTCTCTGGTGTCACATTTTTTTTTTTTAAGATTTTATTTATTTGAGAGAGAGATAGTGAGAGGGAGAGAGAGCATGAGTGGGGAGGAGAGGGAGAAGCAGGCTCCCCGCTGAGCAAGGAGCCCAATGTGGGGCTTGATCCCAGGACCCCGGGATCGTGACCCAGGCCGAAAGCAGCAGCTTAACCGACTGAGCCACCCAGGCGCCCCTGGTGTCACATTTTAAAAAGGATTTTGTCTAGCTGTCCTACACCTGGAGAGCAGCCCGTTGGAATGGGGCCCCGCACTCATGTGGCTGTTAACACTTAAGGGAGTGGGCTCGTGTGTCCTCCAGGAGGAGATTCAAGGGGATGGGAAGTTCCTTCTAATGCTTGAAGAGCTGTGAGATACCAAAGAGGGGATTCCCATTTTATGCAGTCCTAGAAGAAAGGTTTTGGGAAGGCATATTTTCCCAGTAAATAGGGAAGACTTTTCTAACAACCCATATGGTCAAAGATGAAAACACTGGGTAGAAGCGGGTGGACACCAAATGGCATCTTGAAGGGTCCCTGGGCAGTGGTCGCACTGGGGAGAGGACAGATCCGCCTGCCAGTCCCAGGCCCCGGACTCTCCTGCAGCCAATTCCAGCCTCCTGGAGGCAGAAGAGGCTCAGGGTCCCTGCGTGCCTGCCTCCCCCCTCCATGCGGGCCAGGTCTCCATGGAACCTTCCCCCAGGCTGCACACTCCCCATCCTCTGGCCTTGCTTTCTTTGTCTTCCTAACCCTGTCCCCAAAGGACACACTGTGACCTGGTGAGTCCCGCTTCCTTCGTGCCTCTGCCGGGGCTGAGGCCCAGACCAGGGCTCAGAGCCCAGACCAGAGCCCGGCACACAGCAGGCCCACCACGTTCCGTGAACTGATGGTTCTCAGACGCAACAGAGCACAGGGTACAGACAGCCTCGGGGGAAGAAATGCCCACAGTATTAAAACCCTGGCGCATCCCCCAAAGGATGAGTGGAGACGCCAGACGTGGTCCATCCATAGGACAGAATATCATCAGCCTTGACAGGGAGGGAAGTCCTGGCCCCCGCTGCGGTGCACGAACCTTGAGGACACGGGCCAGTCACAAAAGGACAAGCACTGAGCGACTCCACGGACATGAGCCAAGTCCGTGAAGACACAGAGCGGAGGCGCAGCCCTGGGGGGAGGGTTTGCTGGGGGCAGAGCCGCGGGGTCGCAAGATGACAGGGCTGCTGGCGGCTGCGCGGCGCTATGAATGCGGTTAATACGCTTGCCTGCTATGCTTAAAATACATTTTGTTACGTGTATTTTGCCACAGTAAAAAAAATTAATTGTGGGTGACTGGCAGAACACGGCCTCCCTAAACCCAGGGTAGGAAAGAGCGGAGAATTTAAACGGTGAGACTAGCACTCGGAAGGAGCCGGCTGATGCGAGAGGGCGCTTCATCCTTGGGGCTCAGCCGCGACCCTGAGGCTGGAGCCGCGGGGGCGGTCCGCAGGGCTTTCCCTCCGGGCCCCTCCCCCCGAGAGGCCCCGCCCCTCGGGCCGCCCCGGCCAGGCCCCGCCCCTGGTCAGGCCCCGCCCCCCGGGCCGCCTCCCTCTGACAGATCCCGCCCCTCCGGCCGGCCCCTACTGAAGGCTCCGCCCTTAGATAGGCCCCGCCCCTCCGGCCGAGGCCCCGCCCCCGACCAGGCCCGCTCCGCCAGGCTCCGACACCCTCCTCTGACAGGCCCCGCCGCCGCCGCCGCCCGCCCCCGCCGCTCCATTAGGCCCCGCCCTCCCATCAGACCCCGCCCCGGCGGCAAGCGAGCAGGAAGCGCAGGGGGCTCTGCCGACGCGGCGTTCGGAAAGGTGTGGAGGGGGCAGAGGGCGCCGGTGGTGGTCTCTCGCCGGCCGTGCTGCCCGCCCGCGCGCCCCCGGCGCGACCTGCCGCCCCGGCCCGCGCAGGCCCGCGGCCGCCCCGCGCGAGCACGGCTCTGGCTCGGGGCTCCACTGCTCTGGCCTGGGGGCGGGGCCGGCGCGCGGCGTCATGCATATGCATGAGCGGCGCGGCGGCTCCATTGTGCCCTCCGAGCGGGCGGCGGCGCGATGGCGCGGGCGGCGGCGGCGGCGGCCCCGGGGCGGCGGGCGACGCGGAGGGCGGGCTGAGCGCATGGAGCGGCGCGGGCCGGTGACCGCGGCGGCGAGGGGCCGGGCCGGGCCAGGCGGAGGTGAGCGGGCCGGGCGGGCAGGTGCGGGCGGCGGGGGCGGCAGGTGCGGCAGGTGCGCGCGGCAGGCAGGTGCGGCGGCCGGGGCCCGGCGCTGCGGCGCCTCCGCGGGGCTCGGGCCGGGTTGGGGGCGGCGCCGACGCCCCCCTGCCGCACCTGCCGCGTGTGCGTCGTGCTCTCGGGCCCACCGGCCCCGCGCGCGCGGGGCGACCCTTACCTGAGCCTTTGTTGGGGCGGCCGGAAGCCGGCGGAGCGCCCGAGGGGTGTGCGCGGCCCCGGCGACCTCCTGAGCGAGGAGGATGATGACCCGGGCCCTCGCCCCACCGGGCTCCGACGCCTCCACGCCGCGCTCTGGCCGGCGGGCTCGCCTTCCGGGCTGGCTCCGGGCCGTGCGCGCCCACCGGCACGGCGATGTGGGACCCGCGCGGGTCTGCCCCGGGGGCGGCGACGCTGGCTGACCTTTCAGCCTCTGGCCGTGGTTTCCGTGGGGACACCCTTTGCCCAACCGGACGTACTGACGCTCAGGCGGGAGGTCCCCTGCTCCCTTCATCCTCCTCTTTCTCCTTCTGAGCTGTTGCCAGCCATCCTCCCTTCTCCCGCTCATGAGCCGCTCCCTTCCTGCCCTGGTCCCCTCTCCCCACTGCCCTGCTCCCCCTTACCGCCCCCTGACTTGCCCTCTCCCTGCCGTGCTCCCCCTCACCCCCCCCCCCGCCACTTGCTTCCCTCCTGCCCTGCTCCCCGCCATCCTGCTCCCACCCCTGCCCTGCTCTCTTCCTGATAGTTGCAGAACATCCGTGGCCCCGTCTGTAAGTCGGTTGTGTTATCTGAGAATATTTTACAGGGACATACACAGAACATGTGACTTGATCTGTAAGACGGTGGTGGATGCAGAGAGGGCGAACACAGACTCACCCACCAAATCCTGGCGTGCTAGAGCCAGAGGGGTTCTGTTGAAGAGGCTTGAGACGGGTAGCAGGATCCCAGAGGGAGTCTTAGCCTCACCCGAGGGTACTGGCCCCGAGGACTTGTCATGCCCAGGGGCTGGTTACAGGCTGGGAGTAGAAGTCAGGGAGGAGGAAGGTAACGAAGGACAGGCAGCCAGGCCTCCCCATGAAGTGTCCACTCGTAGCTGCCTCCACCACAGGGGTCAGGGCTGAGAGCATAAAGGCGGGCATGTGTCCCCCCCCTTTGCTCAGTCCCAGGATGGTCACCGCGTACCCATTGTGCACGTTGTAAACTGAGGCTCAGGGCAGTGAAATGCTTTAGCTGTTCCCTGAAGCGTCTCATCCCCGGGGGTTTTGGATGAGTGCTAGCACTTCCCCTGGTCGGTGTTGTGGCCTCTCGAGGAGAGCTGCGGACTTGCAGTCACCTGAGCATGTGAGTGCCCGCCTTGAGTCGTCCTGCCTCCCTGGAGCCATCATTTGTACCTTCTCTGAGCCTGGGGGACTCCCGTGTCCCTTCAGTTGGAGACTCTCCCTGGAACCACGGGCTGCCTGCTCTGGGACCACGGAGCAGGCCTGTCCTCCTGAGATCAGGTGGCTTGTCATGGGTGTCCTGCTCCTGGGTGACCAGGCAGCAGGGACGGAGTGGAGGTGGAGAGGGGTGACCCACATTAACGTCTGCCTTTGGTTGGCCCGCGGGAGACTGGGTGCGGCTGGTCTGAGTAGTGAGTGTTCTGGAGGAAGACGGGACCTGACCTACAGAAAGCTGTGGGGCCTTCTAGGCTGACTGCATGCCAGGGCGGTGCTGCCCAGGGGTCCTGGCTTCCTGCTGGAGCTGTGCACAGGAGAGCCTCTGGCCGGCAAAAGCCGCCAGGGCCCTGCTCAGGCCTCCTTGCACTCACACACACGCACACACACACACACACACACACACACACACACCCTGGGCTTCCCCAGCTGCCCTCCAGGCCAGGAAGTGGGAGGAGGGGCTGCACTCAGAGCTCCACTCTCCCTTTGTCGGGAGCAGAGGGTCATGGGGTACCCACCTTGGAGCGTGTGGGTGTTCTCAGGGAGGAGACCAGACGTAGTTTGGCAGGAAGTCACACACACACACACACACACACACACACGCAAGCAGTCGGCTCAGGGGGAACTGGAAACGTCTGTGGTCTCGTCCACAGAAGAGAAGTCTTGGGGGTGGAATTCCCCGACCCATGTGATGTCGGAGTCTGCCGGGGCCCCAGACCAGTAGCCTCCACAGAGGCCCTGCCCTGCCCCCGCATCCCCAGCTCTCAAACTGGGGTGCCTTATCAGCAGCATGCTCACCCACAAACTCTCCCGGCTCCAGGCCTCCAGGTGAGTCTGATGTACTGGAGCTGGGGAAGCACCTCTGGCCCGAGGACTCCGGCCGGCCTTTGCTTCTGGGACCAGAGCGGGCCTGGCCAACTCAACCCAACCAGCTTGGGGGTGGGGAAGGGTTGCCGCGGGCATCTCTGTGGAGAGGGCTGGCTGACAGTGGTGGGGCTTTTTTGCTAAACTTTAATTTTGAGGGAATTACAGATTCACGTCACCTGTAAGAAATACCTCTTGTGTCCTTTGCACGGCTTCCCTACTGGTGACATCTCACAAAGCTCTAGGACACGTCACAGCAGGAGGCGCGGTGGCAACAGTCAAGTTACAGATACTGCCCTCCCCGGCTTCTGCTCACACCTGTCTCCCTCCTCCCCACCTGGCAGCCACGCTCTGCTCTCCATTTCTGGGATTCCGTCATTTCAGGAGTGTTACATAAAGGGAATCCTACCGTGTGGAACCTCTGGGGACTGGCATTTCCCACGCAGCACGTCCCCCGAGATCCCTGCAGGCTGCTGCCTCCTCCTCGTGCCCCCGGGGCTGTGGGTGCCCTCCAGTGGGTTCAGTCCCCAGCCGTGGGGCCGGCCTTGAGCCGTGCCCGGGAAGGCTGCTGGAGACATGCACACAGAGATTCTTAATGTGAACGGACGTTTACATTTCCCGGAGATGAATGTTCAGGAGTGCCGCCGCTGGGTCGCGTGGTGGCTGCTCCCCGTTCTGTTCCCAGCCGCAGTGGGGACGAGATCCAGGTTCTCCTCACTTGGCCTTGGGCACCGAGGGGGTGTGGCCAGGGCTCCGTGCAGCTTCGTGCCGCCCTTGCCTGATGGCCGTGATGTTGGACCCCTCTCCGTGCGCCGACTTGCCTTCCGTACCAGCTCGTCGGTGAAATGTCTGTCTCCTGCCCAGTTTCTGGGCGGGATGTTTTTTTTCTTTTGAGTTTTGAGAATTCTTTATATATTCTAGATACTAGTCCTTTGTCAGGGACAGTGCCTCGCAAACGCAGCTCCCAGGCTGTAGTTTCATCCTGTCCCCGAGCCTTCCACAGAGTTCTCAGTTTTCCCTTTTAAGGACTGTGCTCTCGGTATATTGTGTAAGGACTCTTGGCTCTAGATCCCGAAGATTTGCTCCCAGGGGTCTCCTCCAAAGGGTTTATAGCTTTGTGCTGTACGTTTGAATTTGTGGCACGTTTCGACTTAATTTCTGTACAAGGTGTGAAGATTAGTTTTGTTTTGTTTTGTTTTGTTCTTGCGGGAGTTCAGCGACTCTAGCATCTCTTGTTGAAATGCCAGGTTTCCTCCAGTGCGTGTTTTTTGTACCTTTGTCAGAGATCAGCTGGTTCTCTGGTCTGTTCCACTGGCCCGTTGGCAGGTCTGTCCGTCCATACCCGCCTCTCCTGTCCCCATCCTGGAGTTGGACAGTAAGGACGGGGACACCAGCCTTCCCCTCCCTGGCTGTGTGGGCCTGGCTCCCACGCCTGCCTCTGCCCAGATTCCAGGGGCCCGGAGCCTTCTGGACCCACTGACCCCGGTTTTTTCTGGCCCCTGTTTCCTGAGCGGGACCTGGTCTGGTGGGGAAGGGAAGCAGAGCCAGCTGTGGGTAGGCAAGCCCGACTGTCTCTCCCTCCCCCTCCTGCCCAGCCCCAGCCCCAGCCGGGCTGCAACTCCGGGACCCACTTACCTCAGTGCTCTGGGGCGGGAGGCTGCGGCTCGCAGTCCCCACTATACCCCTTCCCTGCTCTGGGTCCCTGCTGAGGGCCCCCCCCCCCCACTCTCCTCCAGGACTGTATTGCCAGAGGACATGATCATCTTGAGGCACCTGGGCAGCTCTCAGGAATGTGAGTCTCGGGGTTGGGTGGGTGCTGGAGTCACTTTTTTGCTCCTGGGCCAGAGGGATGCCCCGTGAGTGCTGAGGTGGCAGATCTGAACCACCAGAGCTGAGCTTGCCCCAGGTGACGTGTCTGTGTGTGTGTGTGTGAGAGAGAGAGAGAGGCCTCACAGCTCCGAAAAGGCAGTGGTGCTCCAGGACAGAACCTCGATGCCCCGAGGGCGGGGTGCGGCCTCCCCATCCAGGACCTCCAGGGCACCCGCCGCGAGCCATCACCAGCATGCGTCTGCGGTTAGGCCAGGCAGAAGCAGGTGTGGAAGGTAGCCCCAGTGGTGCCAGCAAGGGCTCGGGCTTGCTTTTGGGGGTTCTTTTTTCTTTTTTCTTTTTCTTTTTTTTTTTAAAGATTTATTTATTTGACAGAGAGAGAGAGAGCGAGAGCAGGAACACAAGCAGGGGGAGTGGGAGAGGGAGAAGCAGGCTCCCCGCGGAGCAGGGAGCCCGATGTGGGGCTCGATCCCAGGACCCTGGGATCATGACCTGAGCCGAAGGCAGACGCTTAACAACTGAGCCACCCAGGCGCCCCTCTTTTGGGGGTTCTGAGGACACAAGTGGCCTGGCCCCCCCTCGCTGGATTTCCGGAGACAGTAAACGGGAGAGAGCGAGCCTCACGGGGTAGGAGAAGTCCCAGGGCATGGGAACACGGGTCCCGCGAGCATTCACCAGTCCTGCTGCTGTGTTCCGTTGGCCCTTTGCCATGTCCACGGGCACCTGCCGACCCTCCGCCCGTGGCTCCGTGTGTGCATCCCTCCCCTTTGGGGAACTCTGTGTGGGGGTCAGGGCTGCCCGCCTGGCCCTGTGCCCGCGTCAGTCCCAGGTGGCCCCCCTCGCCCAGAGCCGCCCTCGGCAGACTTGCTGCAGCAGGCGGCCTGCCCTCCCCTCCCCCAGGCCAGGGCAGAGGGCAGCTGAGCTTTCTCACCCCTGGTGACTAGTGCCCCCTCTACAGCGGCAAGCCTCAGTGCCCCCCGGCTGCTCCTCTCCGTCCTCCTCCCGGCTCCCTCCACCCTGGGGCTTTCTTGGGGGATTCTGGCAATCAGGTCCTGGATGCTCCCTGCCGTTTATCCAGGCCTTCGTGCAGGAGGGGGAGCATGGAAGGTATTTGGGTTCAGAAAGCCTGCTCCCAGAGCCGTTCCAGGGGGCTCTGAGCGGCAGGGCCTGGCCAGAAAGGGTTAATGCTGGCTTCCAGGCTGGGGTTTGGGGGTGAGGAGGGCAGAAGTTTGCCGGGGTGGGCAGTGCGGGGTGAGGTGGCCCTCAGACGCTGGTGTCTCTCTGCCCTCCATCAGTCGGCGCAGAGCAAGGGGGGCCTGGTGCTCAGGGCCCCCCGCAGCCTGCTGACAGCCCCCAGCTGCTTCTCCGCTGATGGCCTCCCTCCTGTCCCCACAGCCAGAGCAGCTGAGTTCCACACCACCAGCAGTGAGGGCCACTGCCTGCCACCCACAGACCTGGCCTTTAGGCTGCGCCGAAGCCAATGAACCCCATGCACCCTGTGAAACCCGCCCTGCCCCCCGCGCCACACGGGTGAGTGGGGCTCCTGCCGCCCTCCCTCCTCAGGCCGCGTGGGTGCGGGCGGGGTGGCAGAGCGGGACCTCTCTGCTCCTGGTGCTCAGCCTTCCGGGCGGGGGTCTCCTGACCTGGGCCTCCCCGCCCACCTCTCTGCTCGCAGTGATGGTCCATTTGCTTATGAGGCGGTGCCTTGGCAGCAGAGCGCCACTCAGCCCGCGGGATCGCTGTCGGTGGTCACGACCGTGTGGGGCGTCGGCAACGCGGCCCAGAGCCAGGTGAGCCCACACCTGGGCCCACCCCTGAGAGCCGCCAGGGCCCCCCTGGACCTCAGTGAGAAATGGAGTCTTTTGGCCTCCACGCCGCCCCCGCCCTGTGCCCCACCCCTGCTCGCTTCCTCTCCTCCCCTCACCTCTGCCCCCCACCCCCCCCACCCCAGGCCTCTCCTTGGAGCAACTGCTTGAAGTAAGTTGTTTGGATGGTGCTCACTGGCGGTTCTTGCTTCCCGTAGGTTTTGGGGAGCCCCATGGGCCCTGCAGGGAGCCCCCCTGGCAGCTCCGTGATGCCTGGCATGGCCGGCAGCGGCTCTGCCCTGAACTCCCCGCAGTGCCTCGGACAGCAGGCATTTGGAGAGGGTGCCACCCCCAAGGGCTTCGTGCAGCAGGGGGTGTACAGCCGCGGGGGCTACCCCGGGGGCCCCGGCTTCACTACTGGGTAAGCAGGAGCCCTCCAGGGGCAGTGCTCCGGCTTGGCAGGCGCCCAGGCCTGTGCGGACCGGTCTGTTGAATGTCGCGTCTCTGCTCCTCCCGCGGGCTGTGACGGGGGCGTGTAGACACGAAGGGGCCCCAGTAAGGGCCGTGTGCCACCCCCCCGCCCCGGGTAACAGGCAGGAGGCACTTGTGACCCGGCCCTGTGTGTCTCTCGCAGGTATGCGGGCGGCCCGGGGGTGCCCGGGGGCCTGGGTCTGCCCTCACACGCCACACGACCCTCCACCGATTTCACTCAGGCGGCAGCGGCGGCCGCGGTGGCTGCTGCCGCGGCCACGGCCACGGCCACGGCCACGGCCACCGTGGCCGCCCTCCAGGAGAAGCAGAGCCAGGAGCTGAGCCAGTACGGAGCGGTGAGGCCCGGCCGCTCCTCCCGTGCCGCCCACGTGTGCTGGTCTGGAAGGCAGGGACCAGCTGGGCAGCTGGGGTCGGGGTCTGGGGACGGGCGTGTAGTGAGATGAGATGGGGGAGGGGCGAGGCGCTGAGGGGGTCCCTGGGTGGCACCCACAGGGTAGGGGGCGTGGCCTGAATGGCTCCTGTCTTCTCTCCCTAGATGGGGGCCGGGCAGGCTTTTAACAGCCAGTTCCTGCAGCACGGAGGTCCCCGGGGGCCCAGCGTCCCCAGCAGCATGACCCCTGCCGGCGTGGGAGGGCTGCTGGGCCCCTCTGGCATGAGCCCCATGGGCATGAATCCCACCCGGGCAGCGGGCATGGCACCCCTGTATGCAGGGCAGCGCCTGCCCCACCACGGGTACCCTGGGCCCCCCCAGGCCCAGCCACTGCCCCGACAGGGGGTCAAGAGAGCCTACTCCAGCGAGGTGAGTGTCCGGGCCTCCCTCGTCCCGAGCCGCATCCAGAGCCGCAGCGAGCTCGGGCATCCCGTGTGAGAACCGGCCGGGCCTGACGGGGTGGGCGCCGCACCCCCCTGGGAGCTGGCCTCCCCGACACCCATTGCCCTGACTGTGCCTCTCTCTCCTTCAGGTTTACCCAGGGCAGCAGTTCCTGCCGGGAGGCCAGTATGGGCCTAGTGCCACCCAGTATGTGCCTGGCACCGGGCAGCCTCCCGCCCCCTCCTCCTACCCCGGGCACCGGCTGCCCTTGCAGCAGGGCATGGGCCAGGCCCTGCCTGCCTCTGGCCCTGCAGGACTGCACTACAAGGTAGGATTGGCCCCTCCGGCTGCTGCAGCCCCCGCTGGGCCCCGTGCTGGCCACCTCCAGACACATGGGCCTCGCCCGGGCTGACTAGGGAGTGGGCCCGGGTGCACGGAGGGTGACCAGGCAGCCTGGAGCTCCGCAGGGGTCCTCACCAGTGCGGGGATTTGGTTCTGAAAGGACCTTCTATGAGATTTGTGTGTCTGCTTGGAAATTGGCTGGGGAAGAGGTGGGCAGGCACCCAAGCCACTCGAATGTCCTTTAGGGCAGGGTGACCATATTCCCTCTGCCTGCTGGGGATAGGCCCATCGGGGGCATGAGGGGAGGAGGGGGTGTGTTTTTTCGGCCTCTATCTGGCTCTCCCATAACCCCTTCTAAACAGGGGGCAGGGGGGTGTCATCTCTTTTCCTGGAGTAGTAATTTTGTAAATTATGAAAGCACTGCATGCTCCCTGTCGATTATTTGCAGAATGTAGAAATCATCCAAAAAAGAGACTAGAGGCCAGTGCCCGTGTGTGCCGTGGGCGCCCTGCCCCCAGCCCCTTCCTTGGGTCAAGCGCAGGGGCTGGGCGGGGGGCAGGCGGGGGCCCTGGGCACACGCAGTTTTCTCTCCTGCAGCCCGCAGAGCAGTTCAACGGGCAGGGCACCAGCTTCAGCGGGGGGAGCATCAGCTACAGCCAGCCTGGCCTGAGTGGGGTACGGGCAGACAGGCGGGGGGCTCCCAGGGCGGGCACATGGAGAGAGGGCGCCCGAGCAGGAGGAAGTGCGGGTGGCCAGCCAGAACCCCCCCCCCCCAGGGCTGCCCCCTGCCCGATTCTGTCCTGACCGGTCCCGGGTGCTCCCAAGAACAAACCCCACCCACCACCATTCCGCCTTGACTGTTTGCTCGACCCCACAGCCCACCCGTTCCATCCCTGGCTACCCCAGCTCCCCACTGCCGGGGAGCCCCACGCCGCCCATGACCCCCGGCAGCAGCGTCCCCTACATGTCCACCAGCCAGGAGGTCAAGTCTCCTTTCCTGCCCGACCTCAAGCCCAGTGTGAGCTCCTTGCACCCGTCACCCCCCGGTGAGTGTCATCTGCTCTCAGGATGGTTGGGCTAGGGCCCAGGACCCCAGAGTCCTACAGGGAACGTGGGGGTTGGGGAGCCCACAGCTTCCTCCTACTCCTAGACCTGTGGGCGGATCTTTCAAGGTGTGGATCTTCTCTCTAGAAAAATACGTATGTGCACAGAACTTTGTGTATCATTTCAGGGGGTTTATGAATCCCCTGAGGTCCACTCCTGCTTGGGAACCCTTGCTCTGGGGGAGTCCGCCACAGCAGAAGCCAGGGTCCTAAAAACCTAGCTCAGGCGCTGGGATGATGGCAGGTGGTCCGTTCACACCTCCTCAGCCTCCCACCCCTTCTGAAAGCACCAGCGGCACCCTCTTTCTGGGTCGGGGGCATGTTCTCCAGTCATAATTTAGGGGACCCTTGGCCAGGTGACTGAGGCAGGACGGAACAGTGGGACACCAAGATCCTGTTCCCGTTGGAGGTGACGGCTGGGCCCGGGGCCCTAGGGGCCCCAGGGGAGACGGGGGAGGAGGAGCCATGCTCCGCGGCCCGCATCCCTGGGATGGGGTGGGGGTGGGTGGGGGGGCGGCGCGGGCCATCCAGCCCCGTGTCCTCTGTACCAGCTGCCGGCTCACACCAGCGCGGCCCGCTCCCAGGCAGCGGCCCCTGTGACGAGCTGCGGCTGACCTTCCCTGTGCGCGACGGGGTGGTCCTGGAGCCCTTCCGCCTGCAGCACAACCTGGCCGTGAGCAACCACGCCTTCCAGCTCCGCGACTCTGTCTACAAGACCCTGATGCTGAGGTGAGCAGACGCCCGGCCCGGCGTGTGCCCCCCGCCCGCGCCCCGGCCCGTCCTCAGCGCCCGCCCGCCCTGCGCAGGCCTGACCTGGAGCTCCAGTTCAAGTGTTACCACCACGAGGACCGGCAGATGAACACCAACTGGCCAGCCTCGGTGCAGGTCAGCGTCAACGCCACCCCGCTGACCATCGAGCGCGGCGACAACAAGACGTCCCACAAGCCCCTGTACCTGAAGCACGTGTGTCAGCCGGGCCGCAACACCATCCAGATCACGGTCACGGCCTGCTGCTGCGTGAGTGCCCCCCACGGGGCCGCACGCGCCCCCCGCCCCGGCCCGTCCTCCGTCTGTTCTCCTGGCCCCACAGTTGGCAGCAGCCTCCCCGCTTAACTAGACGGGGCGCTCGTGCGGGCCCGGTGCCGGAAAGCAGCTGAGCCTGTCTTCCCGCGAGGAGGCTCGGGAGCCCCCCGGGCTGCCTGTCCCCGAAGCCTTGCTGGGAGTCACCGGGGCCCCAGGCAGAGCGGGGCGAGGAGAGGTAGCCGGGCCCGCCCCGGCCGGCTCTGGGGGATCACGGGGATGCCGCGGGCCGGACACAGGCCGGGGGCTCTCGGATGCCGGTGGGCTCCCCGGGTGGGCGTGGGCCAGCCGTGGCGTCGGGGGGTGGGGGGTGGCGCTCCAGGGCGGGACGGGCTCCCAGGCCGCAGCCCCTGACCGGCTCCTCCCACCGCAGTCCCACCTCTTCGTGCTGCAGCTCGTACACCGGCCGGCCGTCCGCTCGGTGCTGCAGGGTCTTCTCAAGAAGCGCCTCCTGCCCGCCGAGCACTGCATCACCAAGAGTGAGTGGCCCCGGCCGCCACCCGGCACGTCCCCATGTCCAGTGAGGCTGCCTCCTCTGTGATGGGGGCCCCGGGCAAGGAGGGTCGGGGGACAGCGGCGAGCCCCGCACGCTGCCTCGGAGCTGTGGTGCCGGCAGGCCCCTCAGGCCGGTCCTCTCCCTTGTCGACACCAGTAAAGCGCAACTTCAGCAGCGGCACCATTCCCGGGCCCAACGGCGAGGACGGGGTGGAGCAGACGGCCATCAAGGTGTCCCTCAAGTGCCCCATCACCTTCCGCAGGATCCAGCTCCCCGCCCGTGGGCACGACTGCCGCCACATCCAGGTGGGTGGTCCCCGCGGAGCTCTGCCGGGACTCCTGTCGGCCGTCTGGTGGTGTTGGTAACCAGGCTCCCCACGCCCTCCCCCGTCTCCGAGGACAGTTGCCACTCCCCTGCATTCCCGGGCTCTCGTCTCGAAAGGCGACGAGGCCGCAGATGCGGTCCTCCCGCCCCAGGAGCGGCCGCTCAGAGATCCCGTGCGCGGACGAGCTTTGGTCTTCCGTGTTCTTGCGGCTCTGCCGCGGTGTCTTCTCGGACACCGTGTCCTAGACGTGGGCCCTCACCAGCACAGATGCCCAATTCTCCAGCCGCGTGGCATCCCGGTCCCAGTGAGGACCGTGTGGGCTGTCCCCAGGGTGCATCTGTTAGAAGGGGCGCCCCAGCGGAAGCCTGGCACGCGTGGCTTCTCAACACGCGAGCAGATCAGCCCAGACGCACGCGGCTTGATCATGGGGTGCGGCCAGGTCGCCCCCGGCCCCTCCGTGAGAAGCCATCTCTCGTGCTCCCCACAGTGCTTCGACCTGGAGTCCTACCTACAGCTCAACTGTGAGCGGGGGACCTGGAGGTGCCCCGTGTGCAAGTGAGTATCCCCGAGACGGTCCTCATGGGGGCCCGGGGCAGAACCCACCCCCACCCCCCAGCCCACAGCACCGAGAAAAACCCAAGTCAGGTCCAGGGGGTCACGGCACAGACGAGGACGCTGTGGCTCAGGGCAGAGGCGTCATACACGGGGTCACCTCACACAGTCTCCTTCATGACCGGTCACCTCCCACGGGTGGCCTCGGGCTCAGTGACGGAACGGAGAGGTGACAGGCCTCCAAGCCCCATCCCCTTGGTTTTCAACAGCAAGACGGCGTTGCTGGAGGGGCTGGAGGTGGATCAGTACATGCTGGGAATCCTCATTTACATTCAGAAGTAAGTGTCTTCCTGTCACCCCGGTCCGTGGTCAGCAGCGGGCAGCCCCAGAACGGCTGGGAGACGCACCCTGCTCTGCCGCGGCCGGAACCACAGCCACCCCGTGGGGCCGGGGGAGGCGGCAGGACGGCTGGTGAGCAGCCCACGTGTCCCGTGCAGCTCCGATTTCGAGGAGATCACCATCGACCCCACGTGCAGCTGGAAGCCAGTGCCCGTGAAGCCCGATGTGCACGTCAAGGAGGAGCCCGACGGGCCCGTGCTCAAACGCTGCCGCACCGTGAGCCCCGCACACGTGCTCATGCCCAGCGTCATGGAGATGATCGCGGCCCTGGGCCCCGGGGCTGCCCCCTTCGCCCCCCTGCAGCCCCCCTCGGCTCCGGCCCCCGGCGACTACCCCGGGCAGGGTGAGTAGGGTGGCCGCAGGCAAGCGGTCCGTCCTCTTCAGACCGGTGAAGTGTCATCGCGCGGGTCCTGTACCTGGGGGGCCTGCTTGGGGACGCGGCTGTGGGGTGGGCAGTAGCTGGGCCCACCCTCCCCGGCGCTGGGGAGCAGGGGCCTTCTGTCGGCACGCTTCCGGGGCCTGGCCCTGTCTGATCCCACCTGTGGGTGTGTTTGGGTGAGGCGGGTCCCAGAGCAACGTTGCGAGGCCGGTTCCCCTGGCCATGGTGAAAAGACATGCCCTTCTCCATAAGGTCCGGCGCTATGTGCCGGAGAGCGCTGGGAGTCCCCCCTCCCTGGGCCAGTCTGCCAAGTGCGAGCCCCCAGGCCTCACCCAGGACTGGCTCTGCTCTCAGGTTCCAGCTTCCTGGGACCCGGGACCTTCCCTGACTCCTTCCCGCCTACCACACCCAGCACCCCGGCCCTTCCTGAGTTCACCGCGGGGCCGCCCCCCAGCTCCTACCAGTCCGAACTTCCCAGCAGCCTCCTGACACCAGAGAAGGCTGCCCCCTGCCTCCCAGGCCAGGTCAGTGCCGGCGGAGGGTCGGGGGGCCGGCTCCCGGGGAGGGGGGGCCCAGGTCCATTTGACCTGGTTCTTCTCTCCTTCCTCAGATGGCACCAGCGGGTCACCTGGACCCGGCCCACAACCCCGGTCCACAGGGGCTGCACGCCCCCAGCCTTGGGGGGCCCCCGGGGCCCCAGCTGCACCATCCAAACCCTCCCCCAGCATCCCGGCAGCCCCTGGGCCCAGTGAGCTCGGGCCCAATCGGCGAGCTGGCCTTCAGCGCGGCCACAGGCGTGATGGGGCCCCCCATGTCTGGGGCGGGGGAGGCCCCGGAACCGGCCCTGGACGTGAGTACGGGCCCCATGCTGGGGAGCACGTGGGAGCTGGGGCTGGGGACGGCGTGTGCATCGTCTCCAGGGTCCACACGCTTCCTAGAAGGGAGGACGCTGACGCCCCAGTGACTTCCAGAGCCAGGAGAGCTGGTCAGATAGCATCAGCTCTCGCGATGATGAGTGCCGGGTACCTGCCGTAGCCGCGGGGTTGGCTCTGGGGGCCTGTGCTGAGCGCCCAAGAAGACGGGGCTTGGAGCTGACTACAGCGGCTCGGGGTGTGGGCTGACCTGTCTGACTCACCTTGCTGTGTGAGCCAAACTCAGCGTGTAAGACGCAGGTAACCTTCGTCGACCCACATAAACCAAACTCCCTGACGTCCATCATGAGAAAAGTTAGAGCAGCTCAAAAGCAGCGCGTCGCGGACGCTGGACATCCCGCCTTCTGCATTTGCCCTGCTCGCACCGGGGGCCCGCGCTGCCCTGGGCATGCCAGCACCGCGTGTCCCGGGCTGGCCTTGGACAACTTGAGTGGAGTGATTCGTGGCCAAAGAGAGCCTTCGGCAGGGAGAGGCCCCGTGCAGGCTGAGGGTCAGGGTCCCGAGCAGGGGTGTGGTGGGTCTGAGGCCAGAGCTGCTGATGGCTTTGCTTTGTCCCCAGCTGCTCCCAGAGCTGACCAACCCCGAGGAACTGCTGTCCTACCTGGGCCCACCTGACCTCCCCACAAACAACAATGACGACCTGCTCTCTCTCTTCGAGAACAACTGATCCTGTAGACCCCACCCAGCCGGCGGGGACACGCCCGCAGATGTCACCGTGCCCCGCCCCCCCACCTGCGTCCGCCCCGGCCCCCCGGCCCCCCGGCACTAGAGGCAGCTGCGCTGGGGGGGAGGGGGCTGCGCGTGGACCCCCTGACCCCCACTCTGCTGCAGAATGGTGTTTGATGAGATGCTCAGCCCCGCCCCCCCAGCCCAGCTTTGCCCCGTCCATACACCCCTGCTACCCCAACTTTGCGCCTCGCCCCTGGTCCCTCCAGCCCTGCCTGCTCCCACCAGCCTGCATCTTGTCCAGCGTTGACCCTTCTGTTTCAACAACCCCTTGGCTCACTGGCGAGGAGCCGGGCTGCTCTGTCCAGAGTCTGCGCTCACGGTGGGAGCGGGACCCCCTCTTCCCACCCGCGGCTTCAGGCCAAGGCTGCAGGGTGGGGCGCTCTAAAGCACAATGATGTACATAGCGTAGGAACACTAGGAGGTGTGGACGGCCAGTCCCTCCTGGGCTGCCAGGGACCCCGCGGGCTCCTGGCCCCGCCTGGGTGCGGACGGCGGGGGGTGGGCGCTGCAGCTCCGCTCCGTGTGCGCATTCTCCAGCGGGTGGCTCCTCCGAGGTCCCCTTTTATGTGAAAGTGAAGAATCCGTGCCGCCGTGTTTTTTACACCTGCCTCTCCCGTGCCCACCCTGGGGCCAAGCCAGGTGGGGGAGGAGGAGCCTCCGAGTCGTGTCCCCTGTCTGCCCGTCTCTATTAAAGGACTCCCTCACGCCGGGCCTGCTGAGTCCCTCCTTCACGCCTGGCCCGTCTTCCCCACGTGGGCGGGGCTCTGTTCCCAGCCAAGACCCGGCTGTTCCCACCTCACGGTAAATTTCCCTGTCCCTGGAATTTTCCAAGTTGGCTTCGGCGGGAGAACTGTTCTGTGAAGTGTCACCAGGGCCAGGAGACACATGTGCCACCCTGTCACCTCGCGTGGGTGTGCCTGGGGCAGGGAGCCAGCTGTCGAGCCAGGGGCCTCGGGAGGGACCAGGGCTGAAGGCCCGGCTGGCTCCAGACCGCAGCTCCGGGAGGCCCGGGGAGGGTGGCCCTGGGCTCCCGGGCCTACAGGGCCCCCCTCCAGCTGTGCACCGGCTGCCTGGGTGGCCTTTTCTTCCTGGCCCAGCAGGAGAGGCTGGTGAGCCCTGTGGCGGGGAAAGGGGAGTGCCCTTGGGGCACCGGAAGCTGGGCAGGGGTGGGGGAGTTGTCCAGTGCGGGCAGGCCTGGGTGGCTTTACCCACTGACATCTTGGGACCCCAGACGTGGGCCTTAGTGTCCCTGCAGCCTGTTTCTGGCTGAGGGGACAGGAGCGCAGTCCCAGTGCCTGGGGGGACAAGAAGGCCCAGGGATGAGTGGGGCCTGTCTGGAGCTCTGTCCGTCATCCATAGCCAGGCTGGGGTTGGGGGGGAGGGGGAGGCCGAGCGGGGGGCCACGCATGCTGTGGTCTCACTGGACATTGTCCTGGGTGCTGCTGGGCAGAACGGAGAAATCCGGAGATGAGCCAAAGGGTGCAAGCTGCTCAAAAGTCCACCCACAGGAGGGTGGGCCCCGGCTGAGACATGATAGCAGTGGGACAAGGACCACAGCCCCGACAGGGCCGTGGGCGCCCCTCAACACGGGGTGAAAGAGCAAGGTGCAGAAGTTCACGTGAGACCATGCCATCTTAGTAAAGCTCGACCCCAAATGCGGATTTCCCCGGACTCCCATGTCTGCTGCAGCTCGGGAGGAAGGTGCGGGCGTGGACTTGCTGCTCACGGCGCTTCCCCGCGGCGACTCGGGTGCGTTTGGGGAAGGGGGAGGCATCGGTGACATTCGGATCCTCAAAGGGAGTGGTGGCTTCTCGGGCTGCCACCTTACGCCTCATCTGTCACGTCCTCTCCTATGTGCCGCCCCCCGCCCGCAGAACACACGCCTCTGCACCTGCCGGGGACCACAAGACCCGTGCACAGAAATGAAAACCACGCAGATGGTGCCAAGCACCTTCCCTGACCACAGGGAGGGAAGCTGGGTGTTACTTACTAACGGGTTTCGCTGCAACAATGTGTCACGTTACATGGAACAACAGTAACAAATACATGGTTAAGTTAAGCCACTCGACAGGCAAGGGGTCCAAGAAGGAATCGCGAGCGAAATTAGGAGACACCTTGAGACGAAACACAGCACGCCCAGCCTTCAGAGGGGCAGTGTCACGGGGACATTGGATAACCGCAAATGTCTGCGATCCAGAAGCTCTCGATGCCTCACCGTCCACCCGAAGGAACTAGAAAAAGAACACACACTGCAAAGCTGCGGAAGGAATGAAAACACCCAGGTGCGGAAACCAGAGAAGTGGCAGCGCATCCGGGCGAGCAAACCTTTCGTTCGACCAAGTGACTCGGGTCAGAAGTGGGGCCGGAGCTGCTGTCGGCGGGACATCCAGAGGGGCCACACGGGCCCCCTGTGAGCTGCCGGCGGTCAGCCCCCACTGTGAGCGCGCGGGGCCCCAGAGAACCGGCCCGAGGAGCGGCCGCCGCTGGAGCGGACCGCACGAGGAAGGGGGTGGAGACCCTGGCCCAGGACCAGACGCTACCAGACGTTGCAGGAATGTCCCCGACCCCACGGCCCCTGCCCACCGTGCCCTCACCCCACCACCTCCCAAGCTGGGCCGGCCACAGGGATGTGTCGGGACATCAGAGCCACCATCAGAGGGAGGGGGCTTTGGACAGGATCCAGGAAATGTTTCAGGGGCCCGGGACTTTGGATGCCTTTTTAGTCGGGGGTCATCAGCCACTTGCCCGATCTGTTTTTTTAAGCTGAGATGCAGTGAATCGCCCGGATGCCAAGTGCACTAGGCTCTGTGAGGTCATGCGGCCATCACTGTCCCCTGCAGCCACCTCTGCCTCTGTCACCAGAGACTGGCTTAGCGTGGTCTTGAACCTGCAGGTGGACCCACGGGGCTGCACCCCATCATTGGCTGTCGGCTAGAAGGCTTGCAGTGATGCTGGGGTAGGGGGTGGGATTCGTGGATGCCCCTCCCAGCCTCTGCACCCCCTTTCCATGTGCATTCGCCACGGCTCAGGCTGCAAATGACCCTAGCCCGCTCACTGAGAGGGAAGGATTCAAGACCGCCATCCTGGAAAGGCCGCCAAGTGCCTTGGGGACGGCCAGACACGGGCAGACACAGCCCCAGAATGACCAACCTGGCCCCTTGGAGAGCCTCACTGTCCAGAGCCTCCAAGCCCTGCTTTCGCTGACACCACGAAAGGCCTCGACCTTGTTCCCTGGTGGGGCAGCTCGGTTGGCCCAGCTAGGGGGCCCCGTGACCAGGATGGGGTCGGGAGTGCTCCCCAATGGAGGGAACAGCTGCTACCAGACAGGGGTGGGTGCAGGTGGCCCCTGGGGCCCCTAGGATCATTCCCCACCAGGCCCACGGCCCACCTGACCTGCCACCCCCGGTCCTGCACCTGCCACCCTGGCCGCCCCTGGGGATTTGCAGGCTCCTTCACATCCTACCCGATGCAGGCCACAGCTGACCAGCCCCTACCCCAGGGAGCCCTGTGTTTCCAGAACAAGCGGCTGCCCCTCCCCCCATGGCTGCCTCCGTGGTCCCTGTCACAGCTGATCAATCACAGACAACTCGATAGTGATTATTTTCCGTTTTTTTGTTTGTTTAAAGATTTTATTTATTTGACAGAGACACAACGAGAGAGGGAACACGAGCAGGGGGAGTGGGAGAGGGAGAAGCAGGCTTCTCGCTGAGCAGGGAACCTGATGCGGGGCTCAATCCCAGGACCCTGGGATCATGACCCGAACCGAAGGCAGACGGCTAACGACTGAGCCACCCAGGCGCCCCAATTTTCCAGTGTTTTATTTAAAACCCTTGAGCCTTTGCAAACGGAGCGCCCGCGCGACCCCTGGGTTCGCTGATGGTCAACGTCCCGCCGGCCTGCAGGGCTCCGTCCGTCTTCCCACACAGCTGCAGCTTGTATGCACACGCGGGTTTAGTGGTTGCCAACTTTGGGGAGTCGGTTGCAGACAAACATCTCAGCGTGATCTCGGAAAAACAAAAACGTTCCCTCACGTGAGCAGCAAGGTGAGCCGGGTTCCACACCGTGCTCCCTCACATCCTGATGTCCCACCGTCTCCTGTAAGTTCATTCAACCCCAGACCCAGCCAGGGTCACACTTAGTGTCCGGTTGTCGTGTCTCGATCTTCTCTCTTAATGTGGGAGAGTCCTTGGCCTTTTTTCCTGATGCCAATTTTCTGGACAATTCAGGCGAGTTGCCTCACAGCAGGTCCCATGGTCACTTTCTCCTTCACCCCTGTGTGTCATGTCCCCTGTCCCCTAGAAGGGACGTCTAGAGCTTGACTAAACAGTCTGGGTCAGACGAGCATTGTTACCTGCCTTTCCTGCGAGACCGTGAGCTCCATGGGAGCAGAGCGTAACTAGATCTCTTTTGAGTCCTGATTTATTCCAAAGCTGGCAACGTTTGTCCAAGAGAGAAACCAGGGGTGAATAGGGGGCACGTAGGAGCGGGCTCCCTGCGGTCAGCGTGCAGAGGGGCTGAACACCCAGCACCTCCACGGGCGCCCCTGTCTGCACCTTCCCCGCCCCTCAGCCTGCCCCAGTCCTGGCTGAGCGCCTGTGCCCTGCAGGGTCGCCGTGGGACGGTCAGCAGGTGTCCAGCAAGCATCAGCGTGGATGAGGATGGGCTCCCAGCATGGGTCCCCCCCAGTCCACTCTTGGAGACCCCTGAGCCAGCCAGCACCTCCCGCCCCGGGAACAGTGGCCCTGCTCTTCCGCAGGACTCAGCCAAGCAGGAGAACCGGCTCCCTGCCCAGGGGCCACCTTCCAGTGGAGGGACCCCGATGGGAGCGGGCAGGACAGTGCTGCCCCTCCTTCCTGAGCGAGTGGGGCAGCAGAGGCCCGACTCCAGGGTGCACCCCTCATGCTCCAAGGCCGGAGGCAGCCGTGCGGTGGGAGCCCGCCAGCCCTGTGTGGTGGTTTCTGTCTCAAAGCCAAACCAGAGCCTGAGGTCCTGCTTTCCAGGCCTCAGCCAACCCGCTTTTCCAGTTTCCCCAGCCAGTGGCCGGTGGCCGTCCGCTTCTGTGTGCTCTGACCGTCCCCCACCCCCCGGAGCCCAAAGTAAGAAGAGCCCGCGGTGCAGCCTGCGGAGCCGGCGGTCAGCCACCAGGGTCACGGTCGCCCAGGGTTCCTTGCAACCAGGAAGGGCTGCTTCTGTGCAGGAAAGACACTCTCACGGCAAAACATAAAAATAAAACCCCAGAGGCACCAGGAGCTCTACCCGTTGGCGGGAATGCCAAATGGGGCCGCCGCTTTGCAGGGCACTTGGGAGTTTCTGACAAAACAGCATCCTCTTACCGTCCGCCCGGGCAGTCATGCTCCTTGGTATTCACCCAAAGGAGCTGAAAACTCGTGTCCACACGAAAACCCGCACCTGGGTGTTGGCGGCAGCTTTATAACTGCCCAAACTCGGACGCACGTAACATCCTTCAGCGGGTGAACGGAGAGCACACGGTGCCGTCCAGACAGGGGAATCCTACAGCAGGAGAACGGAATGAGCGATCACGCCACGGGAAGACGTGGAGGCCCCGAACTCCCAGCTCTCCGTGCCCCCCGCCAGTCTGAGAAGGCTGCACCTGCAGGATCCCGAGTCTCCGACCTTCTGGAGAAGGCACAGGTCTGGAGACAGTGAAGATCAGCCAGGGGTGAGCAGGGGGTTTGGGGGGTGGTGAAAGT